GCCATAAAGACTGGATTGGTGGAGTGTTGCAGTGATGTTTGTCCTTCTGTAGGTTTCTCCTATCTCCACATATGATCATGGAGCTCAACTAGAGTGACAATCAGGTTCTTGGTCACCACTCCAACCAAAGCCCTTCTCCATCAATTGCTCAGTTAGGCCAGGAGGCCAGCTAGGAAGAGTCCTGGTTGTTTCAAACTTCTTCCATTAAGGGTAACAGAGACTACATGCTTCTGTGAACCTTCAATGAAGCAGATTTTTTTTCTGAACTCTTCTCCAGATGCGTGGGTTGACGCAAACCTGTTTCTGAAATCTACAGGCAGTTCTTTTGACCTCAGTGCTTGGTTTTTGCTCTGATATGCATTATCAGCTGTTAGACCTTTTATTAGGACGTGTGTGCCTTTCCAAATCATACCCATTCAATTGAATTTGCCACAGGTTAACTTCACTCGAAGTGTAGTAACATCTACAAGCAAGATGAATGCTCCTGAGCAAAATTTTAACTGTCCCAGATAAGGGTATGAATACTTATGCAATGGAATAATTTTATTTTTTTAATAAATTTGCAAAGACGTTAAAAACCTGTTTTTTGCTTTACAATTATGGTGTATGGAGTGTAGATTGTTGTGGAAAAAAACAAATTTAAAGCAGTTTAGCATAAGGCAGCAACAAAACAAAATGTGAAAAAATTAAGGGGTATGAATACATTCACAAGGCACTGTATATATGTGAAAGTGGTTATTTATATTACTGTCATGACAACTTTCAGAGAGATCGGCATGGTAATATACTATGGTTATGTTAATGTGTTTGGTCTTGGAGGAATAGATCTGCTACGCTGCTGCGGCAGAGCAAGTACTGAGACTTGCTACTGCCAATACATCCACAGACATGCTGCTGTGAGCATGTAAGAAATACTGCTGCTGCACATAACATATATGAAATAACCCCCATATATAACATACATGACATTACCCCGTAGCAGATCTACACAGGTGGAGCTGGGGAAGGTGGAGTGTTTCTGAAACGCGCTTCAACTGCTACAGCAAGCACTAGCCAAGTATTTGAATGTTGAGCAGCAAGCACATTCTGATGTGAAAAGAAACCAATCAGCTGCGCCATGTGAATAATGATGTGATTATATCACACTGAGTTAGAACCTACTGGCCAGCGCCATCATCATCAAAACTTTTATCCCCACAGACATGTGTTTACTAAATTTGATGATATTGTAGGGCGTTCCAAATCAACACATTTTATCAAGTGAACTTCTATATACCCTGCTCAGTGTGCAGGGACCCTGTGAATTGGAGCATTGGAAAGTCTGTTCAGGAAGTTCATATTTACAAGTTGGGAAGTCATAATTACAACATCAGATGCATTCAAGTCATTTTCATACAAAATGATGAATAAATTATGCAAATCTGTTGTTTTTGCTTTTTTTGTTTTTATTACATTTATAAAGTCACTGTAAATGTAATCATATATTCTATCGTAACTGCAGTACTATTGTATTTTGCACATGCAATTTATTGCATTTATTGTAAACTGAAAAAAAAAAGATACATTTCAACAAGTTTACCATCTACCATATTTTATCATTGACAGACCCTCAACTCAGAAACTTGGGGCTTAAAGAAAGATTACTTGAAAACCACAGGTTGGAGTGGATTAGACCAAAACAGAGAACAAAACAGAGGTTTAATATCGCTGATGTAAGTATAACAGCGTTAAACATTGCACTTGCTTTTTAAACATTTGTCATTTAAAAATTTTAAACAGATTTAAAATATTTCTTTAAGCTTACTAATGTACAAATGCCACTTAAGTCAAACTTAAAATGACTAAATGTCAATGTCATTACAAAATCTCAAACCAAATGGTATTTATTTTAATGAAAGCTAGCACAAGCATGCAGTTTATGTAATGAAATACACCTGTGGTTTCTCTGCTAGGACACCTGTGGGAACTTGAGGGGATAATGGTGCTTCAAATCATTTCGGAAAGATCATATCTCACACACAGCATCTGTATTAATGGTACATTTGTTCAAATAAATGTAATTTGTTTGATCAAAAATGGGAAAAATCTAAGTTGCATGTACAAAATACCACTGTGCAACTACAATACATAGTTCAGTTTACCGCACCTTCATAAATTGGATAAAAACAAAGGAAAACACACCTAATTTGCATTCTTTATTCATAATTTTGTAGATGAAGAATTAAAAAAATATTGTTGAATTTTAAAGCTACATCGCTATTTAACTTCAACCAATGTAATTTGAAAGTAAGTCATAATTACGACTTCACAAGTTAAAATGAACTTTCCAGGAGAATGTGAATGCACCAAAAACTCCACTTGTTTTGATATTTTATATCTAATAAAATGTCATTCAGCCAATTTGAACTGTGACTTAAATGTCCAAGTGCTTTTTAGGATTATATTTCTGTACCACTGTTTTCTTTAACCAAGACTTTCTTACGACTACCTAAACATTTTAGAATTATTTGAAGAAAAAAAAAAAACATACAAGCAAACAAATAAAACACCTTTCTGCTGTCTTCCTGACAAGGCTAAAAGTTACACATTTGTCTGTGGTCTAGAACAGTGTTTCCCAACCTTTTTTTAGTCGCGGCACCCTTTGGAAATGTTAACAAACTTGTGGCACCCTACAAAATTTATTTTGTCACAATATTTGAATTTCTAACTTCGATATGAAAATTTGAAAAGTATAGATATTCGGTACAACAGGGAAGAACTGCAGAATATAATGTCATACAGATATTTTTAATATGTTTAGTCCTAGATAGCTATTATCATCAGAACACGTGAGCATAACATAGCGGTTAGCAGATCAATGTATGAGAGGGCAGCGTTACCAGAGTTGCCCATATACCACACCATGTTACAACACAGTAGGGCTATTGCACACAGAAACAGAGTCTAGAGTCTAGAACACCCAGGTCTAGAAGACAAGACGATGGCTATCGATTGACATTAACAAAGTGTGGCATCCAATTTCTGTCAAATAACATTTCATACTTTACAAACACCTTGCTGAATGCACAATATATACACTAAACTAAATCGATACATTTTTGCAACCTCACAGATTATTATGTCCCATTATGTACATCAATGTAACTGATTAATAATTGAGATCCCATCATACTCACTTTATAGACAGCTCAGTCTCCAAAGTTGATATTTTGTGTTTTGCCCTCTGAAGTGCACACTGAACATCCCGTGCCATAATTCTGATATTCATGTATGTGTTAGTTTGTGTAGTAAGCCGACGTTTTCTGACTGGACACTATATACTCCATCTCAGCTTGCACATCCCATGCACACGCATGCAACATGATCCACATGAGGAGACAATGGCTGTGTCTCAAAACCTAGTGAGTTCCCCATCTACATAGGACATGGCACCATGGTTATGTTTTTAAATTTATGTTTTTTTTTTATATGCATCATGTTTATGTCAAGGTGTTCTTTGAAAACTCCATGATTTATTAATGCATGATAATCCTTTAGTTATGTTAAGTTTATATGGGTCAGTGATAAAAGATGTCTGATTTTTTAACATTTGTACCATTTTTCAATGTGTATTTTCATTAAAAACTCAATATAATAATAATGATGATGATGATGATGACGACAATAACTTTTAACACCATCATAAAGGTGTAAGGATCCTTCTTTGCAAATTATACTATTTATATTTTAATTTAATAATATTTAATACACACACACACACACAATAACAACTGACTATTCAGCCAATTTTAATAGAAAATATACTATCATCCTTGCAATAACCAAGTAAAGTGTTTTGTATATAATCAATAATCAAGTAAAATGTTTTGTTTAATTTATTTTGAAATTAATATCACTCTACAGCCATAATCTGTTCTTCTTTTTTTCTGCATTAAAAAGTAAAAATAAAATGTCAAATGTCAAAATTTAAGAATTTGTAAACCCAAAATACTCAAATAAATAAATAAATAAAATAAATAAAGTAAAAAATGAGACTACTCTTTTTTTTCTTGTCTCAGCAGGATATATAATGACTTAATAGATCCAGACAAAATTATTTCCATGTCATACATCAACGTACCACAGTATTACCACCACTGTACACGCAGTACTCTTTTGTAAACATGTACCAAAACAAGTGCCCAAAACTGTTGTCTAGGCAGGCGGCTCACTGAGTGTTGAGACACAGCCCTTAAATCCAACCAAACAGCGGCGCACGAGTATACGTGTAACAAAGTAACACTTGACTGAAGCTGGAATGTTTCAAACAGCTCTAATGTGTTCCCATTTTAAAACAAGCCGTAACTGGTCAAAGAAGTAAACTAGCACCTTTAGCATGCTGCCTAAATCCCTCCTAGACTGACACACCGTCTGACGCGGCGTCAAAACACAAACACTGCTTTTATTTTCTTCAACTTCATTAGTCATTCCGTGAAAGCATGAATATTTATGCAGTGAGACATCGATAGGAGTGGTAATTGAAAGATGGACCGTTGTCGGACTTACCATCATTAGCATTATAGTGTCGGCGTTCATTTGATGCAGGTCGGACAGGACTGTTTCCTAAAAGTTTTGGAGGGGAACTTCCTATTACAGTGCGCGGAGTCACGCTTCATTCCGGCCCACCGGGAGAACGACAGACAGTGCTGCGTCTGACCACTAGAGGCCGCTCACCGCTGCCTCGCATAGATCATAGCGCTGGGGACTCTTGAGAGGAACCTTCCTTATAAATATAGCATTAGATCAGAAGGGGTTCGGCCCCGTTTCATCCCCCAGAGAATGTTAGGTGGTTTGCAGACAAATTCAGAATGAAAAATGAACAACAACAACAACAATAATAATAATAACAGTATGTCGTGAAAATTAATTAATAAATTAGAAAGTAAACAAAAAGTATGTAAAAGCAAGAGACTGTTAATCAATATACTCTTTTAAACTACGTTGACACAATGTTTATTGTAGAAAAGTCATGCAAATAATTTTGAATTAAAAAACGTTTCTCTTCATATTTATACATAATTAATTTTATGACATAAAAACTGTTTATTTGTTTATATGTTATTATTACTTTTTATTTTATTTTTATTTGTAAAATATGATGGAAAATATAATTTACCATCTATTTATTTATTTATGAAATGATAAAACAATATAATAAAAACCAGTATAACAGACAATTATTTAATTTGTAATAAAAGCCAGTATAAAATCCGATTATTTAATTCGGCAAAAAAGCATGCTGTCTTTATAGTATAATATACGTGAATATGCCTTTAGCTTCAAAAAGTTTGAAAGCCCCTGCTGTAAAAATCCTTTTGATGTTTATGCTGTTGTGCGGTGTAGTTGCGTCACGTGACGTAAGGGGGCGCTTCTCCGACACCTCAGATGATTGCTACTGTTTTTCTAAACCGAGCTGCTTGACTTGAACGATGATCACCGCGCTCTCACGAACTCGTGTAGGATTTATCAAAACAATGAGCAAAATGCTACTTTTACCGGTTTAACCTACTGCCTTGATTTAATAAATGCAAGAGGTTCATTTTGAAGTTGAAACTCCGGTGAAGAATATAATGGGATTTACGAACACCAAGTTAATTCATTAATCACCGCTGTTCAAATTTTCCTGAGGTGAAGGAGATAACTTAGCTCTTTAACAGAAGATGTTATAATGGGGGTTTCTTGTTGTATCCTGCTCTTTTTACTACACTTCAGTGAGAGAATTCACGGTAAGTTTGTTTAATCATAATCGTGAGCGCAGTGTTTCATTAAACTCATCAGTGCTGATGATGTGTTGACGTGGATACTGTGTTTCACGATAAACATCCGTTTAAGTGGAAATATACGGGACATTTACTATAAACTCAAGCAGAAAGTGTCATAACCCTCTTTTATAACCTTTCGCATAATAATTTCTCTTTATTGTTTCTTTTTTTTTTATCAAATACTGACAGGATGTCATTACAGATTCAAAACTAATGGAGCCTAAACGAATTTAAACTAATTCAGCATCTGTTTTTTTTTTGTTTGTTTGTTTGTGTGTGTGTGTGTGTTTTTTTAGTTTTTTTTATATTTAAACCACTGAATTATAGACAGAGAATGTATTTGAAAAAGTATCCAGAAAGAGACTACTTTGTTTAGTTAAATGAAAAAGGCACACTTTTGTTATGCATCATTATTTAACCAAATACAATTTTGGAGTTTAATTCTGCTAAAACAAACAGCCATTTAGAGTCTCTATTCTATTACAGCTGATAGATAGATAGATAGATAGATAGACAGACAGACAGACAGATAGATAGATAGATAGATATGCTACTTTATTGATTGTAGAGTTACATCATGAACAGGTCACTGTAGTTTCCTCTTTCCTGGGAAATGAATGTGATCTTTGATGCAGATGTTTTGGCCAGCTGTGTTGTGTTGTCACAGTGGAGATCTTTCAGACATCTGCAGCATGCATGACGTCTGCTGTCCACAGTCAGAACGTGCACACTGTCAGAGTTGCCAGAAATGGACCCAACACAATAGACGTCTTAGAAAAGTGCACAAAAGCCTCTTGAAGGAAATATGAAGTTTCTTTACAAATTTTTGAGGCGTAGATTACATATTGCACATGTCTTGTTCTGCTATTCTCTGTCTTTTTTTGTGATTTTCTTGACAATTAAAGGCAGGAAGCCACCAAGAAAGCGTGTGATGTGAATTACTGTGTTTTTTAAAGGAATAGTTAACCTAAAAATAAAAATTTGCTGAAAATTTTGCAGGCCATTAAAGATGTAGGTGAGTAGAATTTAGAATAGATTTGCAGAAATGTAGCATTACATCACTTGCTCACCAATGGATCCTCTGCAGTGAATGGGTGCCGTGAGAATGAGAGTCCAAACAGCTGATAAAAACATCACCATAATCCACACTACTCCAGTCCATCAGTTAACATCTTGTGAAACGAAAAAGCTGCACTGTAAAAAATAAGTGTAATTTTAACTGTAAAATTTTGTAAAAACGCTACGGAAAAAAACTGGTTTGTAATGAACAAATCCATTATTATGATGTTTTTAACTTGAAACCATTGCTTCCAGATAAAATTCCAGTCTATCCATAATATTACTGTCTTTTGGGTGAACTATGTAATAGATATAGATAGATAATATAGATAATAGATAGAGAGTTTAATTATGCTATGAAATTCATATGTATGCACAATTTAGATTTGTTTACCAAAAATCAATTTTTGCATAAGCATTTGAATCTTTACTAGAACTCTCTCCGATCATGAAATGATCAGCTTATCAAGTATGTCCAAATGTCTTGATGTTACTTCGATCTTAAGTTTGCTTTAGAAACATGTCACACTGTGTGTCCTCCAGGATTACGGTTCACCAAAAACCCTTCCAACCAAACGGTGACTCAGGGTAACATGGCCCGTCTGGGCTGTGCCTTTGAGGGTTTGAGTGAACCAGAGATCATCTGGATGAAGGACGGAGAGAAGATCTACAGCACTGATCAGATGTACATCACACTGGATGCACATCACTGGGAGACCTTTCACAGGTAGGAAAACCTGCAACTGGGCATCCTGAATTGTTGTTCAGCATAGATGTTTTTTCAGTGGTTAGAAATGAAATGTAACTTATTGACACTGTTTTCAGGCAAGAACTGACATCAGACTGTATGAAGGGGATGTTGAAACTGATTAGAATATATTGTCATATGATTTATCAAATCTCAGATTCACTAACTATTTTCTAAGACAAGCGCCACTATTACTACTGTTTCTCAAACTATCGTTTTGAACATAAACAACATGTGTCTTGTTGATATAAGTAATAGGGTTTTCAGACCATTTAGACAAGGCAGACACAGTAAAACAGTTTAAAAAATCAGATAGATGTACATTGAAGGAGATATATAGACACCAGAATATCATAGATATTTGTGGGTGAACTATTTTGGTTTGGGCCAGTAAGCAAAAAAAAAAAAAAACTTTGTCTTTTACACTTTTACCTAAAAGGGAGACTGTCCAGTTGTCATGAGACTGTGGCCTTGAGATTGCGACTCTGTATCAGTGTCTGTATCAGTATAATTTTTTGTTTTATCACGGTGTGGGTGCAGAGCTAGAACACCAGAACAGTTGTTTGTGCTTCTTTGTTAGATATCACAGTAACTCCAGTAACTTTATCAAGGACTTTTCTGTCAAGTCTAACATGTTTGTTACTGTAGCAAGTAACTTTGCCCTTCAAAGTTATACAAGATTATTTTCACCATTGATAATACTAAGAAATGTCTCTTGAGCAGCAAATCAGCATAATAGAATAATTTCTGAAGGATCACTTGACACTGAAGACTGGAGGAATGCTGCTGAAAATTCAGCTTTGCATCACTGAAATAAATTACATTCTAAAATATATTTAAATAGAAAACAACTATTTTGAATTGTAATAATATTTCACAATATTACTGTGTTACTGTATACAAATAAACACATCCATAAGAGACATCTTTCAAAGACATTAAAAAATCTTACCAACCCCAAACTTTTGAATGACTATATAAATCAAAATAAAGCTCACAAACAGTGTGTCACGCTATAGTAACCTTGGAGATCATTTTGAACTTGCTTTACTGAAAGCTGGCAGGGCTGAAAATCTCTTGCACGTGTTGTGACTCGTGACGTAGTCCAGTTGCCCAGTTCCTAGATGCTGATTTAGTCCAGTCTTAGACTAAACACAGTTTGGGTGGAAATTTGCTGTTGAAAGTGTTGCCTGCTGTAAGATTAGGCTAAAGAGGATAACAAACAGTGAAAAGAGAAACTGGCTTAGTGTATTACAGGAGTCACGTTTCCTTGCTGAATGCCACGCTGCCAGCATAATCTATAAATGTCTAGTTTCCTGTTGTGGGTGTCATAGCTGTAAACAAATGTATACGTCATGCGTCTCTTTTATGTGAATGCAAGTCATGCCGTTGTTTGCGCAACTGACCTTTGTCTACATAAATCTCAGCACTCTTAGACTGACTGGCTCTTGTCTAGTTGTAAAACTTTTAAGACGGATGTGGCATTATTCTATGATCATTATTAGACAAAGTTGTGGCATTTGCTACTTTTCTAAGTCTATGTCAAGCCAAGTCACATTTATTTATATAGCACTTTATAAAAATACAGATAATAATAATAATAAACAAGAAAATAGCCGTGTTAATGTTGCAGAGTTATTTGTGAAACAATTTTAGCTGTAAAGCAGCTCTAAAAAGACAATAGTGTCATTATCCACCTCAATTTAGTTCAATGTTGATTTGATTTAGTTCAGTAACAGTGTGAATGTTGTAAATGTTTTATATAAATGTATGCATTTGTGCTCAAGGCACATTTGGTCGATAAATGTTATTTTGATTTACATCAACATGAGGGTGTGTAAATGATGCAAATTTAATTTGTGGTTCATTTTACCCTTTAAAGAGTGTCTGTTCTGAGTGTTTCTTTCTTTTTAGTGTTAAATCGGTGCAGCAACAAGATGCCGGGAAGTACTGGTGTGAGGTTGAATATCACGGCAGGATCATTTCCTCAGAGCCTGCTTGGATTACAGTAGAAGGTTTGTCAGTTGCTGCTTCAGAATC